GGGTGGGCGGGGGAGAGGGCTGAAGGCGGGGGGCGGTTTGCGTGGCGCTGGCTGTGTGCTGGGCTGGTGGGTGGGCCAAAAGCAGCTGTCCAGCGTCTCTGTCGCCGCGCCCCTCCCTGGGCTCCCCCGAAGGCATGGATCGGCGGCGGCAGCAAGGAGCCGGTGATGAGCACTTTGAGCTGCTGCCGCCGACCTTCCACAGATTCCCTCCAGCCCTGGGTAGTTGGGGGGGGGTGAGTGTTCTGAGGTGGGACTTAGGTGACACGGCCAATGGAAGCTGGGGAAGCTTCTGACGGACAGTTCAAGCCTCCAAACACCGTTGGTGTGCATTTTCTCTCCACTGCGTGAGGCTGCATCTGCGGTGGGACTTAGGCGACATGGCCAATGGAAGCTGGGGAAGCTTTTGACGGACAGTTCAGGCGTCCAAACACTGTTGGTGCACATTTTCTCTCCGCTGCGTGACTCTGCGTCTTATTCAATTATATATAAGGAAGAGACAACTTCTTGCTTTCGAACTGCTAGGTTGGCAGGAGCTGGAACCAGAGACAGGAGCTCACTCCATCACGCGGCACTCGGATCTTGAACTGCCGAATTACAGACCTTCCGGTCTGCAGCTCAGCCTCTTAACCTCTGAGTCACTGTGGCCCAAAATGGACACTGAGAGCTCAGTGGACGTTCTTTTCTTAAAGATACAAATTTCTATTATTTTGGGGGATTTTAATCCTCCAGTGTATTTTCCCCCCAATTTTTCCTGCAAACCTGGGAATTCTTTCAAGGTTGTAGAGAAACCCCACCCACCTGTCCCTAGTTCCAAAATCTATGGCTTGTTTTCAAATTAGAGATATGATGCTCCCCCAAAGGGGGAAAAAACCCTTTCACACGTAAGACTACTATGCATGATATAATGGCCTGCAGCACCTCTTTCTGGTATTGCTTATTTTGCCTAGGACTAGATGACCTGCAAGGTCCCTTCCAACTCTAACATTCTATGATTCTATCATCCAAGTAGGGTGTTTTACTGCCCCATATGGTATGAGCTACTCATACCACCTATCTGCTGCCACTGTGGTATTCTTTAAAAAGAGGTGAGATGTGGTGGCACCTGGCTCAGCAAGGCTAAGCAGATGGCAGTGCCAGGACTGAGCCCTGCATGAGACAAGGCAGTCACCTCACCTCGTGCAGGCTCAGCCCAGGCACTGCCATCTGCTTCACCTTGCTGAGCCAGGTGCCACCACATCTCACTTCTCGCACAGGGCTCCATGCATTATCAGCTTTATCAAAGCTTATAGTGAAATCCCAGTTTAGTGATAAACCACTTCCTGCCCCGTCCATGGCAAATGGCTAACAGGTACGAGAGGTTAACAAGGCACTGTAAAACAATGTTTCTTTAAGAAGGAAGTTATGAAAGTGGAAAATACAGAATATTTGGAGGTGGAATGGCTCTCTATGTCAGAAAGAGTATATAGAATCTAACAGAAATAGATTAACTTACAGAAATGCTATAGGTGGAAATAGTGGGCCCAAAAGGAAGCTTAACTGGGAGTTTGTTATCACCCACCAGATCAAAGGTTAGAGGATGATTTAAAAACAGCAAAAGAATTAAGGAAAGCAATTAGATGAAATAATTTTGTCATTATAGGTGATTTTAAATACCCACACATTGACTGAGTCAATATGTGTTCAAATCAGGAGAAAGAGACTGGGTTTCTAGACACTCTCAAAGACTGTGCCATGAAGCAGATGGTCACTGAACCTACCAAGGAGAGGTGATCCTGGACTTGGTCCTAGGTAATGCTCAAGACCTAATGAGACATGTAAACATGATGGCACCAGCTGGGAACAGTGACCGTAATGCTATTACGCAGGAGAGGCACGGATGGTGGGCGGATTATCCAGGCACGATCACACCCCAACATCTGGGAAGTGGAGCGCACCCGTGGCTTACCGCCGAAAATGCGCGTTAAAAAACTAGTACCTCCAAAGTACTAGTAAACGTTTGCCACAGGCTGCCTCCAGACTCCTGTGGTGTGATCGCGCCAGCGCGCGGCATTCCCCTCCTGTCCCTCGTTTACCCGCCGGCGCCAAGGGAAGGACCCGTGGTGTGCCGCCGGCACGCCTGATCGCGTAATCATGGATCAAACTGCGCAGGGGCAATTAGCCATGCCTCCCCCTGCGATATCTGGCCCATGTGACCAGT